GAAGCACCTGTAAGGCCTTGTACAAACACCTGGCCCAGGGCCCCATGCTGCCACAGTTCATATGAGGAAGAGGGACAATCCTTGTGACAATTGTGACCCCCCACTCAGCTGCAAACCTGGAGTCTTTACTCGTGTGTGTGTGTGTGTGTGTGTGTGTGTGTGTGTGTGTGTGTGTGAGAGAGAGAGAGAGAGAGAGAGACAGAGAGAGAGAGAGACAGAGAGACAGAGAGACAGAGAGACAGAGAGAGACAGAGAGAGACAGAGAGAGAGCATGTGTGCATTTTTGTATGCAAGCATGGGTGCCACAGGATGCGTGTGGGGGTCAGAGGACAGTGTTGAGTGTCAGCTCTCAACTTTCATCCTGCTTGAGAGAGGGTCTCCCATTGTTTGCCACTCTACAAGCCAGGTTATCTCTCTCCACCCTCCATCTCCTCATAGGAGCACTGGAATTACAGATGCATGCTACTGTCTCCATCTTTACATGGGTTCTAGGACTCTAAACTCAGGACCTCACACTTGTACAGCAAACACTTTACCCACAGAGTAATCTCCCCAGCCCCAGACCTAGAATCTTGTTCCCCAAGTCACTGGCATGCTTGAAAGCCAACAACACACATGATGTTCAAGAATCTTTAAGAAAGGACCCAACCTTACATGATGATTCTGCCCAACACAAGTCTTACCCATTATCAGACTTACGAACATTTACAATGAGAACAGCCACAGAAGCCGGGTCAGATCATTACTGGGACAGGAAATAGTTTTAAGTTCCTCTCAGGACCACAGAATCCCATGACAGGAAATGAACCAGTGCAACTGACATCCTAAGTACTTAGGAGACGCTTTCCAGCCTGGAGCTGGTTGTACCACTAAAGTGTAAAGCTGTTACATGTCCCAGATTCCTCCCTCCCTCCCTTCCACTTAGCTCCACCCTCCATGTCTCCCAGCTGTGCTCTCCACACCAGCCCCCTCCTCGATGTTCACCCCATCCTCCGCACCCCTCAGGCCACTGCAGACAATACTCACACAGGCACGTGGCCAGGCCAAGCTTACTTCCTGTATGCCCTGACCAAGAGACCTTTCCAAGCAAACTATCCAGTGGTATCTCTTTCCCACTGGAAGCCTTCTACTGACACCACAACCCCCTTGTCCAGGATGCTGGGAAGCCGGGAACCTCTTCCATAAAAAGTAAGAGAACAAGTATCTTTGTATGCTCTGCTAACCTCATAGTTTCAACCCTGACCCCAGAGCCTGAAAGAAGTGGGCACATGAGCCCATATGTCCATAAAGCTTTATGGACAAAACAGCAACAAGATGGACCTGAACTTTTGGGCCACTGCCTGCCAACCTGGCCTGCAGAATGAAGACTTGTCCGTCATCACAGTACATGACAGTTTAATTTTACACAGCCCCCCTCTATGAGCAAAGGCTATTGCCCAACTGAATCTGGAGATCATCAATGGGATGTGTGAGCACAGAAGCAAGGGAATGTGGGAAATCTCATAACTTCCCTTTAATTTGGCTATAAATCTAAAATTGTTCTAAAAACATTGCCTTTGAAGTGTCTTGCTGTCACATGACTTGTGTCTCCAAAGCCTTTATATGCAATGATTCTAGACCAAATAATGTACCCCTCTTCATTTTAACTCCAGCTTTTTATATATACCCTCCACATGTCTCTTCTACTACTTATCCCTCTGAAAAATGCCACCAAAGCCTATCTTACACAACGTGAATGAAGCTAGGTCCCCAGGGGCAATGGCTCACTTTTAATGTCCATTTGACTGGGTTTAGAATTACCTAGGAGACACATTTCTAGGTGTGTCTGTGAGGGCATTTCCAATGAGGATTAATTGAGGGGTGAAACCCATCCTGAATGTGGGTGGCATGATCTAAAGGACTTGGAGTCCAGACTAAACAAAAAGAAAAATGAGAAGGCTAGCCAAGCCCCAGAACTCACCTTTCTCTCCTTCCTGTTATACTGAGATATGAGGAGAAAGGGGGTCTGGATTCACCTGCTGCCTTGGCATCCTTGCCAACATGGACAATATCACCTCAAACCTAAGCCAAAATAAGTCCTTCCTCCCTCAAATTGCTTTGTCAGGTATTTGGTCATAGTGGAGAGAAAAGTAATTAGTAGAGCCAAGGAAAGGCTGGGGGTAGCTTATTACTTCTTTATCTGGGAATCCTGGGTGGGAGCAAAGGAGATAGTGAACATGGAGAACTGTGCAATGAGACAGAGAGACAGAGCCATCTTGTGTGTTATAGATGTCAACACAACAGACAGCTGGGTTGGGTTGTCAGGTCCCCTGAGAAGCCTTATGGGAATTTCTGGTGGAGGGGCAGAGAAGAGAAGCTGTACCCAGCCACTATATGTTCCAGCAGAAGAGATTTCTCACACAGGGGCTTCTGAGATGTTCCTGTTCATGCTGAGCCTACTCTGTTATTAGAGGGGGATATTGACAGCACTAAGTGGATCAAAATCCTTTCAAGTGCCTGCTCTAGCTGTTGCTAAAGTCAGAAATGAAGCAAGAGGACAGCTGGGGCGGCTGTGTCTACTATAGTCGAGGCCTCACTGAGGTTAACAGTTGCCCCTTCAGTTGCCCAGGTCCTGAAAGATGACCAGAGGAATCACTGGGGTGTGAAAGTCAGAGGCTGTGATAGCTGTTGCAAGAGTTCCAGATGGTAACTGCTCCCTGAGACACTTCATCTAGAATTCCCTGTCCTTCCGCCAGCACCCCCATTAGCCTTATTTGTTTTTGTGTCACTCCATAGTCTGAGCCCTCAGTTGCTCTGAATTTGCCGATGCTGTGATTGCCAATTCACCATTATCACCTGACGTGAAGCAGCTGATGAACTCCTGGGTCTGGGTGTGAGATCCTTCACCCCTTTATACAGCAGTTCCCTTTACTCCTCAGATCAATCACGTTGACTGCTTCTGCTAAAGTAGTAACTCTCCTCTGCCTATTGGTCTGATGCAGGGAACCCAAAGAGAATCCTTATTCTATATCCTGAAGGGAAAGACATCTAAGTGCTCATCTCAATGAATCAGAGCCCAGAGCTAGCATTCAAGGGACAGGAAAATGATTCCTCAAGGAGATGAGTGACAGAGGAGGGGGTTCCACAGCTCCATCCTTGACCCTGAGACCCATGGATTCTAGTTATTGTGTTCACAACACCCTGATGCATATTGCCTCATCCTCCAAGGTACAGGGCCCTGTTGTTGTAGGGTGCTGCCCTGAGTTGGAGGCTAAGATAATCCTTTTTAAAATTTTTAAAGACATTCTACCCCTAACTAGGCTCTGAGTCTGGGTGTAATATATGGTCATTGACTCATGGAGTACTATGCCCACCTTTAAGTTAGTATCTTGGTCTGACACAAGTTACGTGAGATCTGCCCAGGTTAATCAGTTGCAGGTGGTAGGTTATAGTGACAATAGTGGCCTCAAGGCTCCATAAGACAGAAAGTCACTGGAGAACTGTGATAGAGAAGTGGCCTGATTCCAGACCAGTTCCTGGAGGATGGGCCTGGCCACTTGGGGAAGACATAGCAGCCTGAGGGATGGCTGCTTTCCAGAGGGGTAATGGATGGCTATCCATCTGCTCAGAAGCATGGTAGCTTCTCTCTCTACTCCACGGTGAATTCTTCCCCAAGGACAAATTCTATGAAGAGTCCATTCCAAGCCATCGTGGGAGGATGAATTCCCCATGACAGATGCCAAACATCACTGAAATTGAAGACAAGGAAAATGACGGATACAAATCTGTAAAGCTTGCACAGTCCCCTCCAGCTTGCACCTGCACTTCTCAAGGCTGGGTGTCATCCCTGAATTTTCCATCAGTGGCCCTGTGTGCTGTCATCCTTGCAAGCCCAGAAGGGCAAAGAGATTTCCTATCAGCCTCCAACACTTCATCAACAGAGGTTAAGCATTGCTGAGTGGTGAACAAAGGAGCTTTGGTTCCATGGGAAGGAACAAGTATTTTCTTGACTGAGAAAGATTTGTGAAGGAGAAAATTATGTCTTAAGTAATAACAATGTGAGGATTTTATAATCTAAAGAATTGACTTTAATTCTCCAAGAGTTTTTTCATTGAGACTGAGACACCCAGTGTTCAGAACAGACTGGCCTAGCTGTGGTTTGCTGAAGAGACAATGTTGCCCTTCTGGGGACTCACCGAATTAAACCCGCTCTAAGCCTACTTGTGACTATCTGTGGTCTCCTTTCTCAGCCAAGTTTTTGAGAAATCAAAGTGACTAAGGTGATAACATTTGAATGCACCAGAGAACGGTTTAGAGTCATTCTACCTGCTCAGGAGAAGTGCTGGCTCAGGGTCAGACCCTGGAACATTGGCTCCATCTCTATCCTGATAAGGAAGCTAGTATCTTTTCATGAAAAAGAAAACTGATGAGATTCTGGCTTTGGCTGTGTCTGCATTATAGGTCACAGATTCCATAAAACGCTGTCCTTGTCACTAGATCAAATGTGTTCACCTTGGCCTTCACACAATGAGGGAAGGGTTTGTGGAATATCTGGCTTTAAAGGCTTGATTCTCCTATTATTGATAATTTAAGAGAGAAGATAATTTTGGTGGCTTTTGTTTATTTGGTGGTATTGGGTTTGAAGCAGATAGGGAGTGTTTGGATTTCATGTGTCCCAGGCTAGCCTTGAACTGACCATGTAACTGAGTATGACCCTGAACTTCTGATCCCCTACACCTACCTCCAAGATGCCAGGGCTACACCCCCACAATTACATATGCCTAGAGATCAAACCTAGGCTTTCATGTGTGTAACAAATACTCAACCACCAGAGCTATAACTCCAGATCTGATTTTAGGGTTTTTGAGACAGGATCTTACACTACAGACTAGGTTGGCTTTGAACCATGACAATTGTTCTGCCTCACACTCTAGACTGCTAGGATTACAGAGTACATATGTGGGGCACCACACTCTAGACTGATAGGATTACAGAATACATATGTGGGGCAACACACTCACCTCTGGCTTTTCAAAGGTAAATTGTTGGTCAGTTGGAATAGAACATAGGAATAGCACTTTTGGTTGTTGATTAGTTGGTTGGTTTCAGAAGGAGACATCAAGAGGCAGCCCTTTGGCTGTGGGAGCAACTGTTTTCTCGTCCCCTTTCTAGAACCCAGCAGAGAAAGCTCGGCACAGATCTCAGGATGGAGAAGCTGCAGCAGGCAGAAGGGGAGAGAACTCAAGATGGTCTCAGACTTATGGGAAGGAAGGGGTGCTTGGAGCCTTGGGGAGCTTCTGGCTTTACTTCTGGGAGAAGGAAACAAACTACTGAATGACTGTCTTCTTGACTGGGGTGCTCTTGCCTAGAGAGCTGATCCCAGAGCCCAGGTCAGGACATACATACACACAGCAAAGTGACATGGGCTACTGGCTACTCAGATACTTCAAGGGCCTTCATGTCTTGTCTTGTCTTTTCTTCTTCTTCTTGAGATGCACATTCATATACCTCAAGGTAGTCTCAACTTACTATGTAGTTGAGGATGGCCTCTGATCCTCCTCCAGGCATATGCCACTGTGTCTTGTTTATGTGGGGTTGGAGATCAAGCCCAGGGCTTTGTGCAAGGTAGGCAAGCACTCAGTTGAGTGACACTACTAGTCTCTATTGCCAGGACCATTCTAGCACCCGCATTTATCAGTTAATGGCTGGGCACTGGTGACATCTCAACTGACACCTTGGCTCTCAGGCTACAGTATGGCCAGTGTGGCACATGTCAGCAAAGGGTCTCCTGTATAGAAAGAGACACACTCCAAGTGTAGCCTGAGGCCTGCAGTGGCACAGAGGGAGGATCGGTGGAGTGCTGAAGAGAGAGGAAAGAGAAGGCAAATGGGAAAGACAAGAGACAGAGGAGGGAGAGTGGTCGAGACACAGAAATATTTGTTTGAAAAGAAAGGAGACATGAAGAAATGGAGAAGAAAGAGGGGGAATAGAAAGAGTGTGAGAGAGAAAGACAGGAGGAACTGCTTGGGGAAGGGCTGGCCTGGGTCTGGGTCCAAATCCCTACTTTCTAGAGGGGAGCAGGCAATCTTGCTCTGTTCTCTAAGTCAGGCCTTTCTGCACAGTAAACACTTACACAGGAATGGGGGTCAGACGGGCTCCCCTGAAAACCAGAGAGAACAATAGTGACAGACAGGAGGCAAGGACAGTCACAGAAGTGCTTGTCTGGCTGCAGCCCACCCCCACAGACAGCCATGCCTCTACTCTGCCATGCTGGAACAAGGCCTCAGCCAATGACCCAGGATCCTAACGTAAAACCAGTGGTACCTGTGGCCACCAAGGGAGCCACCCCAAAGCTGTCTGCTTCTGTATCTCTGAAGCCTCAGTCAGGTGCCTCCCATCTGGGGGACCCCAAGTTTACTCTACTAGAAGGAAGGGGACAAAGTCACTCTGGTATCAGGGTCTCAATGAGATGCTCTAAGCAGGAGGCAGCAAGCTGCCCAGAGCAGGGACTCTGGTGAATTAGTGACCACGTCACCTCCAGGAGAAGCCTGTGGCTTCTCTTCACCTTCAGCAGCACCCACCTCCTGCAGAGGCATGTGGTGTCTGGGAAGCATGCCTGTGTACATAGTGTGTGTGGTAGTGTTGTTTATATGTGGTATGTTAGTATAGTATGTGTGTGTTGGTGCAGTGTATAGTGTGTGTGTGTGTGTTGGTATGATAGTATGATATGTTTGTGTATGTTTGGTATAGTGTGTGGTACATTTTCATCTATGTATATGTGTATGTGTCCATGCATGTTTATGGCATGTTTGTGTGTATAGTGTGGAGGTCTAAGTTATTTTGAGTTTTGTGTGTGGTACATATGTTGGTTTGTGTATCATGCTTGTATATCTGTGTGTAGTATGTTGGTGTGTTTGTGCTGTATGTTTATCTGTCTATGTGCATGTATGTGTGTCTATGTATGGGGGCTATGTTTGTGTGTATAGTGTGTGGATATGTGGTAGCTATGTGTTTGTCTGTGGTATGCTATTATATACACATGTGAGGGTTGATATATACACTGCTTCTACCCTGAAGACTTTTGACTCTGTTTTCTCATCTTTAGAGACAGTCACTCTAGTCAGGGTCCCAGGGCCAAGCTATAGTGGATGATAGATGGTGCTGTGTGTTGTACAGTAAACTCCGTCATTGTGTGGTAGATGAGACAAGGCCTGTGCACAGTGCTAATTGCTGTACAGTGAAGCCTGTCACATTGTCTGATAGATGAGACAATGCCTGTTCATGATGCTGTATGCTGTACAGTGAACCCTGTCACACTGTTTGGTAGATGAGACAATGCCTGTGCATGGTGCTGTGTGTTGTACAGTGAACTCCATCACACTGTATACTATGCTCAAAAGCTTTTCTGCCTGATGGAGTATTCCTGATGTGCTTAACTATAGCTGCACCCCAGCTTATCTCCTGCCTCAGCCCATCTTCTTTCCCCCACCAGTATATTCACATAACCCATCTCCATCCTCTCTGTACCCCACTTGTACCATAACCTAAGAGTCGCACCACCCACCTCCAACCCAGCCCCCTCCACCCTCCCCACCTCCACCCACCCTTTACCCTCTTCACCCGTCACCCCATCCTCCCCCCACCCACCTGCACCTCATCCGTTAATCCTAACTGGTCCTGAGCTCAGCTCTGCCATCTCCATTAAAGAGCTGCCCCCAGCCTCTTGCAGACAGGTGTACTTCCTGCTCTCGGTGGTGTAGCACTCTACCACAGCGGTCCAGTCTGTGTCATCCTTTGTCCACCCACCCCACCTCCTGACTCATCTCATGTACCACAGAGAGCTCAGGACAGAGACTCCACAAACACAAATCAGAGAAGGGCACAGTGGCTCACCTGCAGGGGGAGCCACAGAGCCACGGGCTCAAACAGGACCCACCAAGGCCCGCCCAGTGTGCCCCACCAAGCTAAAAGGTCTGGGGTAGCTTCCTTTCCCTTCTCATCTTCCAGGTCAACCTCCTGCCCCGCACCAGCCAGGCTGTTTGAAAAGGAAGAAATAGCAAGTTAACATTCCTTAACAGCAGATGTGCCATCACGTAGAAAATAAAGCTTTCCCTCAGCGCTCTGCGTTGGTGTGCCTTGAACAGTTCATCCTGGAACCTGTCGGTTTTACATGCTCTCTGTTGCCATGGTAATGCTTCAGTCAGGGCTGGCAAACACTGGCACACATTACAAAGGATGGCCCTGAGCCTTGCTCAAAAGTCCTCAAACTGAAATGGAGCCTTTACACGGAAGGCTGAGGCCTCTAATTCAAATCTTGCTCTGTTGGCTGATAGTGGGAAGCTCCAGGCAAGCAGGTGCACACAGCGCTGAGAAACTGCCATGTGTGGATTTTTTGTATGTCACAGAACCATTGACCTCATTGCTAGAAATGTTTTCTTTGATTTTTTTGATACCTGTTTTGCCCCCTCTGCTTTCAGGCAAGTAGCATTTTATTTCACACTAATGACTCAAGGACCCAGAGCCCAGAAATGTATCTAGATGAAGCCATCAGTGACCACACAATAGAGCAAGGCTGGATCTTGGGCCTCAGGCTTGGGACCTTGCTCCTCAAAAGCTCTCACTAGCATGTCAAATATGTGTTCTTTTCCATGTGAAAAGATCTCCAGTAATCTCCAAGGACAACCAGGGAAAACATAAGTAGATAGATGATAGATAGATAGATAGATAGATAGATAGATAGATAGATGATAGATAGATAAATTGATAGATGATAGATGAATAGATGGATGATATAATAGATTCTCAGTTGGTAGATAGATGATGATAGATGATAGATAGATAGATAGATAGATAGATAGATAGATAGATAGATAGATAGATGATAGATAGATAGATAGATAGACCATTAATACACTATGAATCTTAGGTATGTTGAACACTGTGAATATTAGGTATGATGGTGGCATAATCACTCTAAACCCTCTAGTTTTAAAGACAAATACAACAGCTTTTTACAGGTGAAACATATCTGTTATTGATAGTGGTAAACAGAAGAATCTGATAACATATTGATGAATATTGATAATTGTAGGTAAAGGTGATTAGATTGGTGAATTGGTGTCTGTGCCTCTTCAGGAGCATTTAAAATTTAAAATTTTTCATTACAAATTTTAAAAGAAAGATAAACAAATAAACAAAATAAAACCAAGGCCCAAGGACTGTTGAGGAAGATGGGGTAGAAAGATCTTAAAAGTCAGAGATCAAGAAGCACTGGGGTGAAACAATATCTTCCAAATATAAAAATAACACAGGACTCATGAACTCACAGTATCTGTGGCTGTCTGCACAAGATCAAATCAGTCAGCAGACTCACCACTTCCCACCCATAACTGAGAATCTATTGACAGTTGATGGTTTCTTGGGAAGGCAGAGTCGGTTTTCCTTAAGATTGTGTCTTCTGGTAGGTTCACAACTCTCCAGGGTGATCCCACACCTATATGTTTATGGGCAGCACACACTAGATTCAATGGGTCATAGAATAAGGAGAAGAGGAAGAGAGGGAGGAGGAAAAGGAAGAAAAGGAAGGAGGAGGAGGGAGAGAAAGAGGGAGGAGGAGGAGGAGGAGGAGGAGGAGGAGGAAAACAAGAAGAAACAGCCTGCATAACAAGAAGACTGGAACAATAGCAGTATCAATGGACATGTCAATATGAAAGGGTGAAATTTTCACAGGGTCCTACCCCTAGACAAAGAACTATAAGCAATTTGGCAACTCTTGACTGCTGGGAAGAGAATTAGCCTTTCCCAAAGATGAGGCCCTTATTGATTGTCCAATGCAGAGTGGTCAGCCTTGAAACCATATATTCACAAACAACAAAACTGGACTCAATAGTTTATATATATATATGGGTGTGTGTATGTGTGTATATATATGTGTGTATGTGTGTATATATTTGTGCATACACATACATACATATATACATACACACATACATGTAACAAATATAATCAAAGATGAAGAATCTATCAACTTGAGAGTGGGAGAGCATGGGAAGGGTTTGAAGGGACTAACTGGGAGAGGCGTGAGGGAGGAAAAGAAGAGAAGTGATATAATTCTATTTCAATTAAAAACATTTTTTAAAACACAAATCACCCCCATACTGCTCCTGAGTCTAACCTCCGGCTAACTCAGCCTTTCTACTCTTGTATCTAGATATCTGTAAGGTGATGTTTAATATGGAATGTCAACTTGGAAGATCTAGAACCCCCTCATACTCAAGTAATTGACCGTGTTTATGAGATGGAATACACAGACTGGGTTAATTGAGGTGGAGATACCTACCCTTACTACAGGCAGCACTGTTCCATGGTTAGGGTTCCAGACTGAATAAAAAGCAGACAGTAAGCTGCCCATCAACATTCATCTTTGTCTGCTTCCTGAGTGCAGATGCTATGTGATCAGCTGCCTCTAGTTTCTGCCGCCATGATTTCCTTCACATACCCTGTAACCTTGGACTATAAACCAAAATAAATTCTGCCCCCCACCAGAAAAAAATGGGGGACATGAAATTGAGAGAGGATAGAGGATATATCTGGGAGGTGTTGGGGGGGGAGGGAGGCAAAGACGATCAAAATACATGGCATGCATTTACAAAACTCTTAATTAATAAAAGTAAACTGATCGACAGGGTCATCTCAGTAGGAGCTCTACGTGTATCCACTCCCATCTGTGGAGCACCTGCTTGTGCCACATTTTGTCCAGCACAAAGGCTTCAGATAGGTAAAGAGCTGCCCAACACAGAGCATAAGAAAAGCTGAGGGAGGCAGAACTGGCCTTGGGAATAGCATTGAAGGAAGACCCTGCATTTTGTGTTCAATATGGCTGATCAATAAGGCTGCCAGGTGTTAACTTACCTCCAGGGAGAAGAACAGTTCATACAGTGAAGAATCTGTAGGGAAGACAGGTGTTTGTTGTGTAGACAGCAGAGAAAGCACGGTGTCCTGCAGATATGGGGCCAGAAGACCCAGGCGGGTATCTGCAGAACATCTAAATTAGGGAAGAGACAAGAAAGACCAGCAGGGAGGGACACTCTTCACCCAGGGAGGCACTGCAGACACTCTCCCTCCTAAAGTAATGAAAACCAGTTCCTGGTGGTTGGGAGCAAATCCTCATCACTGATTCTATCCTGGCTGTAAGTCCCATTCACACAGCTCAATACTCTGAGAAGGAAAGGCTATATACTGAACAAATGCAGTTTGAATATTGCTCATCGTTTCCAAGATAGAGTTTGTATAGAAAATACAACAAAAGAGAAAATAATGCTATGCAATCTCCATTGCCTGGTAGCTTTCAGAATAGCTAATGTTTTGTTCAATATCACAAATCTTACCAAACAACTGTGTCCTGAATCACATGGTTCATGGGTGTCTTTCATGTTAGTGTTAGCCTTTGGAAACCACAGAACCATGTGGTCTCACAAACAATGCCAGGCATATACTGAATATATCCATCTGTAAGTATGTGTCCCTAAAACTTCTGAACATTCAGTAATGGGAGTCATAGATGCCATGTCAACTAGGAGTCCTTTCCTTCAATGTTATATGTCACTCAAAATCTAAGAATTGAGTCTACATCTCAGAATCCTCTATAAATACCATAATTTAAAAGGCGATGCCGGGGCTGGAGAGATGGCTCAGAGGTTAAGAGCACTGCTTGCTCTTCCAAAGGTCCTGAGTTCAATTCCCAGCAACCACATGGTGGCTCACAACCATCTGTAATGAGATCTGGTGCCCTCTTCTGGCCTGCAGGGATATGTGCAGATGGAAAACTGTATACATAATAAATAAATAAATCTTTAAAAAAAAAAAAATAAAAAAATAAAAGGCGATGCCTTTTCAAAGAGCAGTGTGTCCTTCCATCACACTGTCTGTCCAGGAGTCCTTCCCTTGGGGAAAACCCTCCACTCCAATCCAGCCCCACTGCCTTCCTGTCCCCTTTCTCCTACAGAGGCCTTTAGGTTCTATGGCAGGCATATCCCATAGTCACTGGGGGCTCCCAGGGGCTCAGCAAAGCCAAGTGGAAGGCTGCCCGTTCCCTGGTATCTCTCTAAGCAGGAGTGACAATTGGCAGCAAGAGTCATCCCGCTGCCACTCAGTGAAGCATTGATGAGCAGAGATGCAAGGTTGGAAGGACAAGCAAGGGCAGCCATGGTTTCCACTGCTCCTCACGCCCAGGCCACCCCTTAGACTATTGGGATTTTCTTGGGTGATGAGGATAAAATTGGGTTATATTCTTTACTTTCTTTTACTGTAATAAAAAAGAAAGAGAGACCTAACAAATACAATTTAAGGAAGAGCTCATTTTGGCTAGCAGTTCAAGGCTACAGTCTATCATGATGGGGAAGGCGTAGTAAGGGGTTCCAGCCTCCTGTGCAGCTCTTAAGCACCCCTCCAAAAGTACCAGACATGTAATTATACTCAAGGGCACCTTGTTTCCTTTGTACTGAGAATGGAAACTAGAGCCTTGCTTATACTAGGCAAGCCCTTTCCTACTGAGTTACACTCCCAGCGTGCAGTTCTGCTACCAAGAATAACAGCTCCATTTATTAAGTGTTTAAAATGAAGCAAGAACTGAACGCAGCTCACCAGTGGTTTTATGTCATTTAGTCCTTATAACATCTAGAAAGTGTGAAGAGGATGGATATGCCATCCGTTTAGCTCTCATTCTGAGATTACAGAAAGAGAGAAGAGAGGAACAAAGAAAGGAGGAGGGAGAGAAACAGGGAAGGGGAGAGAAGTCCTCAGTTGCCCCCACAGGCAAAAGACATTAAGGTTTATATAAGCAAAATATTTTTGCAGTAAAATTGGTGAATTTGCTGAAGTCAATATTGTTAATACCAATACCAATAAGCATGCTATTACAGCTTGTGAAATACCCCCGTGGGCTTAGTGTCTGAACACCTGGTCCACAGCTGGTGGCGGACCTAGAACCCCCAGGACGTATGGTCTAGCCTGTAGAAGTAGGTCACTGAGGGGCAGGACCTTGACAAAGATAGATTTGCCTCTGGTTCCTGCTTTGTTCTTTGCTTCCTGTCTACCAGGATTTGAACAGCCTCTATCGTCCACTTCTGCTTCTGTGAACTGAGCAGTTCCACCATGCCTTCCCTGCCATGATGGGCTGAAACCATCAAACTGTGGGTCAACAAAGCTCCTCTGTTCTCGCACTGTGTTTCCATCAGGTGCACTGGTCATACCAAAAAGAAAAATAACTAATACACATGGTAAATGTGTGTGTGTGTGTGTGTGTGTGTGTGTGTGTGTGTGTGTGTGTGTGTGCGTGTGTTTGTGTGTAAGGAAAAAAATGCACCTTCAGAAGATGGGCTAGGAGAACTTTCCTCCAGTGTCTCGTATTTCATAGTCTTGCTCAGTGCCCAGGCTTGCAATCCATCCCAGAGCATCATCTGCAGGGTGTTATCTAGAACACATGCTGGGAGAATCACACCTCCCTAGACACACTGAGCAAAGTAGGCAGAGGCCCAAGGCTGGCTCTGTGGATTGGCAGAACACAGGGCCCTGAGATCAGAAGGCTTCCCTTTTGGCCCGAGACACCGCTGTCACTATTGTAAAATCCTTAACTTCTGAACAAAAGGGCCTGAGTTTTCTATTGCACTGGACCCAACTCGGCATGTGCATGGGAAGGGGACTGCACAGTTTGTGTTCATGGAGAACTGGAATGCTGGAGGGGCTAGGGAAGCAGGCCTGAGTCTTAGCTAGTGCCTGACAGGAGCAGCTCTAAACTCTGTAACCCCAGAGGATGATAACATACCTTCCACATGGCTGGGAGGCAGCTGCTCCACTGGTCCCTTCTCCTGAATCAAAAGGTCACTGCTTTAGTCTGTAATTCACAAGATTCCTAAAACAAATGCTTTACTAGTCAGCATGACTATAACAAAGGCCTGAGACAATCAACTTACAAGATTAAAAGGTTTGTGTTGGCTCATAGTTTCAGAGGCTCCAGTCTAGGACCAGCTGAGGATTGTGGTGGTGAGGTCATGTAGCACAGCAGAGGATTGTGGTAAAATACTTCTTCATAGCCAGGTTGTCCAACAGAGAACAAACAGGGGACCAGGGTCCCTCATCCTCTTCAAGGCCATGTCCCCAGTGACCTAAGACTTCCCCCTGGACCTTACCTCTTAAAAGCTCCATCAAGTCCTAACAATGCCATTATGAGATCCCAGGCTTTAGCTCGTGGACTTTTGATAGATAGCCCAGGTTCAAACTATAGCAAACGTCTGACCGAATGAAAATGAGACTAGACTCGGGAAAGTGGCTCAGCGAGCAAAGAACTGGCTACGCAAGCATGCAGGCCTGAATTAGAACCCCCAGAACCATGTGAACGGGATACAGCAGGACACATCTGCAATCCCAGTTCTCCTATGGCAAGATGGGAGTGGAAATAGGAGAATCCCCAGACACTGCAGGCTACCAGTAAAAAAACCAAGAGACCTGTCCAAGCAAGGTGGAAGAGACTGAGCAACACCAGAGGCTGTCCTCTGACCCCCACACACACATTGTGGGATCACCCCCATGCCCATACATATACATACATGCATGCATGCATGCATGTTGCTCCCTTGGGGGAGGGGGTGAGAAGGCACGGTATCAATGGCACAGACACTGGGAGTCCTTTGAAGGCAAATAATAAACTCACTTATTCAATAACAGGGAAAGCCTTATATACCCTCCTCCCAGCACGCAGTCTATGTGGTCATCCCTCATTGGCTGGGCATGATCTGGAACTCTGACAGCGCCCAGGACCTCTGATAGCTCCTATTACTAGGTCTTCAGGCAGACTCCAGGTTGGCTCATAAGGAGTACATTACGTACATGCCTTGGCAACTGGTCTGAGCCAATTTCCTTGACCCTATGGGCCTGTCCTACAACACACGCACACACATATCACATATACACACATGAAAAGAAAGAGAGTGTATGTAAGAGGCTGGAGAGATGGTTCCGCTGTTAAGAGCACTTCTAGAAGGCCCAGGTTCAATTCTCAGACACCACATGGTGGCTCACAACCATCTGTAACTCCAGTCCCAGGGGAACTGATACCATCTTCTAGCCTCCGCTGGTGACTATGCACATGTGATTCACAGACATACATGCAGACAAAACACCTAGACGCATAAATTGCTTTAATGGAAAAAATAAAATTTTAAAGAGAGCAAACAGAAAATTACCTGATGAATATTATGACTTAGTAAAGAAAAATTTCTTCTGCTAATGGAATCGGCGGAGAAGGGAGATGTGGAAGGATTAAAAATAATAAGAGTCTGGTGCCAAGAAGTACAGGCACCTCACAGAGCAGAGCAAGTAGCAGGGGTGCTCTGTGGGTCAGTGGCCAGCCAGTGATAGAGGAGAACGCTCGCCGTAGAAACCTCAAAATAAAGGTCTGGTCAGTGTCTCATGTGTGTGTGTAAGGAAGCTGAGTGAAGACCTGCAGATATTTGCTTGTTTTGCAATACTTGAGGGGCTCAGGGTGCTATTCTACAGAAATCTCAGGGTTACAGCAGCTCAAGTCTGTGTCCTTGGCATGTTCACTGCTGCCAGAGGCAGATGGGGACCCACAACCATGTTAAATATGTGGCATCTAGACTGTGTGGAAAGGGAATGAGGATGGCAGTAAAATGGGACAATCAGAAGTCTGACTGATTGACAGGCCACCTGTCCCTAGTACCGCCTCACGTCAGAGTGAGCGTGAACATTGAGTCTACCATCTCAACAACCGGCTCCTGAGACGCTCAGGCCTGCACTTCTGCAGCCTAGCTCTGGGGTCATAAGGCATGCCACTCTGGGAAAGTGTTTGTTCAGACCCAAGTAGCCTCCTCATCCAGGAAATGTCTCATACTACAGTGGGAGCTAATGCCAGCTACAGTCCAAGGGAAGATGAAGACAGACCACAGTCAGGTTACCTTACTCATCAACCTCATATTTCACAACCTCGATGTATTTAGGGTCTGTGTGCTTATTGAAAATCTGCCTGGAATAAGATAAAAGTAGGACAGTGGACAGGCTGCTCGTGAAATTGCAGCACTCTGGAGATGCAGGTGGGAAGACAGCAGGTTCCATGCCAGGCTGTGCAACAAAGCAAAAACCCTGCCTCGAAAACAAGAAAAAGGTTCATAGCTAGTTTCTGTTGCTGTGATAAAGGAAATTTAAGGGAAAAAGAATTTAATATGGGCCCATGGGTCCAGAGGGATAAGAGTCCATCATGGAAGGGGAGGCATGGCAACAATGGCCAGAGGAAGAAGCTGAGAGATCACATTGTCAACCACAAACTCAAAGCAGAGAGTGGGAACAAGGTGGAGTGGAAAATGGAATGAGTGTGTGTGGTGGTTGGAATAGGTATGCTCCCCCATAGACTCGTGTGTTTGACTGCTTGGCCATAGGGAGGGCCACTATTAGGAGGTGATAGGTGGCCTTGTTGGAGTAGGTGTGGCCTTGTTGGAAGAAGTGTGTCACTGTGGAGACAGGCTTTGAGGTCTTATATATGCTCAAGCTATGTCCAGTATGGCTCACACAGCCTCCTTCTGCTGCCTGTGGATCAAGATGTAGAACTCTCAGCTCCTTCTCCAGCACCATGTCTAACTTCACACCACCATGTTCTGCCATGATGATAATGAACTACATCTCTGAAACTGTTAGCCAGCCCCAGTTAAGTGTTTTCCCTTATAAGAGTTGCTGTGGTCACGGTGCCCCTTCACAGCAATAGAAACCCTAACTGAGACAGGGAATAAACTCAGAAAGCCCACTCCAAATGATGTGCTCTCTCCAGCAAGGCTCTGCCTCCTGAAGGTACTACAGCCTCTCAAAACCACACCACCCACTGGGTACCAAGTATTCAAATCCAGGAGCCCGGATGGGAGACACTTTTCATTCATCAGTTGGGCATTATATTGAGGAAGCAGCATGGTATAGAAAAGAATGGAGAACTTTCCAGGGCAAGAAGGCAGACTAGCCACAAGAGTAGCCTGGCCTCAGTCCAAGGGGGCAGGGCTTTAGTAGTGCTCAGTGGGGCCTTGCTATGCAGCCCCATGCCTGAAACCCCTCTGTGCATTTGTCCTTCTGTCCTAGGCTGCTTCCAGGTTCAGGTGTATCTATCATCTACTCACAGAATGATGTTGTGTGACAACCCACCTACACCTTGTGGAGCAAAGCCATCCCCACTGGTTATTGTCCACAGATCAATATGTTCTGGGCATCCTGGGCTTGGTTAGCTCCAGAGTGCTCAAAGGACTTGGGGGTCTTCCAAGTCTGCATCCCTTGTACAGGCCAATCCAAGCATTTCCGTGAAAGTGGCCAGGGTCCAGAGAAAGGCATAGAGATATACAAGCTCCTTTTTAGCTGCAGGCATCAAGGTCACCTCTGTCCATAGGCAAATCCAGTGAGATGAGCATGCCCAGTGTTAGAATAGAAAAGTCACCAGAAGGCATTAGAGCAGGGGGGGCATCAGAAAGAGGTCACCAAGATGCCCACAGCCACAGAGCAGAACTGATGAGGAACTTGGCTCCTGTCTACCACTCCTGATGGGGCCATAACATACTCAGAACTCCCTCTAGGGAAAACAGGCCCTAAGGGAACTAGGTACTTCTGAAGGAAGAAAAATAACAATCCAAGGGAGGGACATCACACAGAGAAGAAAACCAGCATATTAGATAGCTCCTGTGCATCCACAGTGTGGTTTTCCTAGCTATAGCAGAGGGGCCACATCCATCTGAACTGTCCCATTCGGTAGGGTGTCACCTATACCATATTCATTAACATGGGCTAATTGTGAGGACTCTACCCTAGAGTCGGGCTGCTGGGTTTGTGTATTATTTCCTCACTGCAGTGACAAAAGTAACGTAAGGAAGAAAGATGTATAGGTTCTCCAGGATTTCAGTTTTCCATAGCAAGGATAGTAAAGGGGTGGGAGAGGCGCTGTCCCCAACAGCGTTAGTGTGAAGCAGTGGTCTCTCACGGTGGCTGATAGAGAGCCAGTGGAAACCAGAAGCAGGTATAACCTTCAGAGTCCTGCCCCCAGTCACCAGTTCCACAAGACTTCAAAATAACACCATAAGCCAGATACCGAGCATTCAAAACAAAGACATGGATGGAGCATTTCAGATTCAAATCATAGCCCTTTGAATCCCAGATTTGCCACTTGCTGGTTCAGAGATTTGGGCCAATTTATTTAAACTTCCCTATACCTCCCATTCCCCCAACTGTGAAATAGAGATAAGAATCCAACTGCCACGAAAGCCGATAGAAAGCTGAAATGTCTATAGAAACTATAAAATTCTATAAAACTACCACAGTGTAAGCGGTAAGGTCGTATTCTATTCTCATTACCATTATTAAGATTATGGAGAATAGGCTAACAATGGTGTAGGTGATGATAGTTATGATGAAGAGGAAGATGATAGCTGTGGTGATGGTGATGATGATAATGGTGGTAGTGATGATGGAAGCAATGACATGATGATGTGGATGATAGAGATGATGATAATAATGATGGTGGTGACGATGAGACAGATGGTAAAGCATTGGTGTTCATGGTGGTGATGACAGAGGTGATGATGAGGGTAAAATAACGGTGATGATAACAATGGTGATGATGATGAGGATGATGGTGTTGATAATGCAGATGATGATGGATGTGGTGATGAGGGTGAAGTGACATTGATGATAACAATGATGATGATGACGACAGTGTTGATAATGCAGATGATGATGGATATGGTGATGAGGGTGAAGTGACAGTGATGATAATGATGATGATGATGATGATGATGATGATGATGACGATGATGATGATGGTGTTGATAATGCAGATGATGATGGATGTGGCGATGAGGGTGAAGTGATGGTAATAATGATGGTGGTGGTGACCGTAATAATTGTGGTGGTGATGGTGGTGATAAGGGTGGTTTGTGATGGTGACGGCAAGTGATCATGATGATAAAGGTGATGGTAGACACGGTGAGAGTGATGGTGGTGATTACAGTGCAAAGGATCCTGAAGGTGATACGGGTATTTTTGATGATCGTGGTGGTGATGATGGTGGTGATGACGGTGATGGTGATGATCATGGAGGTGGTGATGATGATGGAGGTTCATAGTGATGGCAAAGTGATGAAGCTGATGGTGGCAGTGATGCTGGTAGCTGTGAGGGTGGTGATGAAGCTGACGGCAGAGATGGTGTTGATGGTGAAGTGATGATAATTATGATGGTGGTGATGGTGATGATGACGGTTGTGGTAGTGGAGGTGGCAGTAGTGACAACGATAAAATGATAGTGATGATGGACGTGATGAGGTTGATGGTGGTAAAGTGATGACCACCATGAGGATAGTGTGATACACCATGGTTGTGTAATGATGGTGGTGACACTGGTACCGATTATGTTGATATGTCCTCCCTCTCCTCCTTCTCTTACTCATTTTCTCCACTTTTATAAATTATGCTTACACTCCATCTAGTTTTAGATGTTGACATGAGTTTTCTAAAAATCAAACAAACAAAATAAAAATGTGTGCACACACCTTTCCTCAACAGGAATGAAAATACTACTAATTAGAAAGAGATTAAGAAATCTTATTTCATCCACATGAGAAAGGCATTGGAAATCAAAGCACATTTCCTTGCCAGAACTGCTCACCCAGCCTTCCCAAATGAAAGGTGCAGGGCTCAAAAGACAGAAAACAACAGGCTTGTAGATTCGGAACATGATGAGTTATGGCTAGGGATAATCACAGACAGATCTGAGGTATCAAAAGCGGAATCACATTGGTCGTGATCAGAAACACTTGGAGATCTTTCATGCAGATTTGCACAGTTGTCTCGCTTTTACTACAATCATAAGCAGTGCATCTCAGCATACAGCTTGACAAATACAAAACACAGGGAAGAAACCCACCCTTCTGACTACCTGCTACTGTGAGTAGCTTAGTTTCTAAGGATGTTTAAAGGCAGTAACTAGTATTTTTACTTCATTACATTCACACAGTAACAAAGTTTATACCGGAAAAGCAGTTTCAGAATGGAAAATTACATGCTGCCAATCTGAATCGGTCAGACAGCACCTCCTTGATTAAAACTCAAGCCTCTACCAACGCAAACGCATTAACTGTGAAAGCACTGTAGCATTTCATGGTGGGTCCTACCCAGCTCAGAAGAGGAGTGAAATCATGTGTGAGTGTCTTCGCACTAGACACTGGTTCAATACACATTTTCAGGGTGCAAATTCTGTACCCAGGCCCCTCATTGGTTGGCAGAAGTCAAAATGGACAATTCCCAGCCTCACCTTCAAGGAATGCAGGCTGGCCAACTGACATCCTCACCACAGATCTGATGCGAGTAAAGATGGGCCATGGGTGTGAGGGGGGCAGCCTCTTCTTGCTCTGAAACGAAAACCCATTTGGGGGGCATCCTGTCCAAGTTCCCACTGCCGCTAGCTCCTGGCACGGCAGAGAACAAGCAGGGTGTCTTAAGAACCAACATTTCTGTTTCAAAATGAAAGGGAAATGGCTAAATTTTGTGACAAATCTGATCACCCAGGAGGTGATGCCAAGTCCCTACCTGTCTCTTCAGATGAGTGAAGCTAAGCCTTTCTTGGTAGGTGAAGAATAAATGTTGCTGAGGGTGCAGCAAGAAAGGGGCGTGCATTCTGGAGGGGTGGCTGAGAGGAGCTAGGGACGTGGCTCACAACAATGTGGACAGAAGTAGAGGAAACATGGTGACAAGGCTCTCGGGGACTGGCAGCAATGGCTTGAAGGAGTGCAGGAAGAGGCTGTCGTCATCCACGGCCAGTCAAGATGGAAAGGAGCTGGGGATGTGGGCCCGTCTCTCCTCAGCCACTCTGCACCTGAGCTGGAGGCCAAAGAGATTAAACTAATGTCCTCCGTAGAGATGAGGTCAGGCACCGCAGCACCGAGCCAAGCAAGGAGCTTCCCCAGACAGGGCAATGAAGAATGCTCCTCCCTGTAAGAAATTATGGATTCTGGAAGCTTGGAGTGTGTACCATATGCCAAATGCTGGGCTTCGCTGTGCAGGTGGGAAAAGCAGTTAATGGTCACTTTCTCAGCCTTGAGGATCCTTGAGCTCAGCCACACAGGGACATGGTAGCCCATGGTAGTCTGGCAATACAAAGATGTTCCTGGTGACTCATCTGGTGCACTAGGGGATGACAGAGGCACATGGCTGGGCACTCCTTCACCTTCCCTCTGCAGAATGGCAAGACACCGCTGCTGTTGCCTCCTTGCTTCTGGCTGGGGAGAGAACTCCATAGTGAACAGACTTCAGTGTCTCATAGAGTGAAAGAATACTGAACATCTAGGTTGTTTAATTATCTTCTACAAATAATTGCAAGCTTCTTCTAATGAGGAAGCTTTATTGACCTGCCATGTATTTGCTAAACTGCTGAAGGGGGCAAATCACTGCGTGGGCAGCTGAAGGGCCCCAGTCAGATTCAGATCTGCATCCCTCTTCCTACCGGGTGAGGAAAAATGTTTCTCATGTTTCCTTTTAAAAAGAGGAATTGTATATAAAAACGCCAGGAAGGGAGAAGTAGGGAGGCAGAGTGTATGGAAAAGTCAAGAGGGGCTCTAGATTGCAGAATGCTACAGCCATCTCAGGGCTCTGGGGGAGGGGACACTGGGATTCAGATGGGTAGAAGGGTAAGAATCATCTGCAAATAATTCTCATCTGTTCATGAAGAACAGCCTCAGAGAGACGGGCTTCTCCCACAATGGTTTCTTCTACCTCCCGCTTCCTCCCATGGGCACATCTGTACCCTACAGGAGAAGAAGGTCCACTACAAAAACCACAGGAAGGAGGGGAAATAACGAAATCTAAAATATAATTCATGAAAAAGCACACTGAAGCCCCCGACAGTGACCCCTGATAATTCATGTGAGAGACGGAAAAAAAATAATTGGCTTAGAGAAAAACACATTTTTTTAAGACTTTGTGTATTAACCCAAGCTCTTAGATTAGTTAACCATGAGCACAATTTGATCTGGAGACAAACAAGCCATTTGTCACTGTAGGGATAATTTTTCTTGGGGACATTGAAAGCAATTTTAAAAAGTAATAAAGTATTTAAAGGGGAATTGTCAGGTCAGGAAATGGAATTTTTTTAAAAAAAATGTATCTTCATTATTTTTATTCTACCTTCAAGTACTGAGTCCATGTAAAAACTACCTGTTTGTCTACGCTACTGTCGCAGGAGTCTAATTCTGTACTTCTACTGTGTGGCCAGAAAGCCCCAGCCATGGAGAAGGGAATAGCAGTGGATGGTACAGTCAGCTCTGCCCTGCTGGCAGTCAGGACAAAACACCTTCTTGAAAACTATGATTGACATGCTTATCCAGGACAGGCATCTGACCGGCCCTGACCAGCCCTGACTAAGATCTCCCCAGACAAGTCCAAGGGAAAGCCAAATTCTTCCATGTCACAGATATTTTCAGAAATCTCCATCACCAAAGGCAGAGACGCAATCTGAACTCACTTGAGGAAATGAAGAATCATGGCAGCTCCTGTAACCAAACTGCTGAAGGCAGAAAGCATGAACCAAGCTCCAGCACTTGACTAGGTCAGGATCCTGGGCAGACGTATAGATAGCCAAGGGCAAGTCCCAAATCCACAAAATGGAGACCATCTTTCGGGAGAATCACTGAGAAGATGCAGCAATAACCTTTGAACTGTCAAGAGCTGTATAATATAAAACATTATATCATTTGCGCATCCTGATGGGCTATCTTCATAGATATAAACAGTCAAAGCACCCAAATAAACATGCATTGACCTAGGGTGGAGAAGACACTCAGGGACGAGAAGACCCTGGCCCAGGCCTGGCTAGACCGTGCTCTTGCCAACACAATGGGCAAGCCTGTTAACCGTCTGAGCCTCGGTTTCCCTTCTTCTAAAGAAGAACACTAGGGCAAAGCCCATTTCCTCCGAAAGATCTTTCTCTAGTGCTTTCTACAGTAGGAAAGAATGTGAGTCATGAAACTGAAGCTGTGTCCCTGCTCTGGTCACATGCAGCCACGTGACAGAACTGGCTGACAGCCTCAGCTTTGGAACCAGCAGGACCCAGGCTAACAACTCACCTAACCTCTGTACCTCGGTTTCCCTGTCTGTCTTGCCTACTCTGTGAGGCTGTTGGCTCTGAGTCTGCAGCAACAGTACCTAACCTGAAAACGCTTCAACTTTCACTCAGCTGATGCCTCCTAAAATACCAGCATTCTCCACATGAGTGCAAGACTCACCAGCTGCCGATTCCAAAGGCATGAAAGGCACTTCCGGCCAGATCAGGAACCTGCACAGCCCTGAGTCTCAGCTCCCTCAGCCCTGAGGTCCTAAAGTTGGTGGGAGGCATTCCCTATGGTGAATATTTGAGTTGCCACATTCCAGCCACTCCAGGGAAGAAACAACTGAAGAGTCTGAGTGAGAAGGAGCCTCCACATCTCACCAGCACCCCAGCTCTGAAGGGACTGCTGACAACAGGGAGCAGAGTGGTTCCTCATGCAGCCAAGGATAAACCAAACCCTGGACAGAAGGACTGGGGGACACTGTCCCTTAGCACAGCCTTCCGTCTGATGGACACAGTGCAGAGATCTGGCCTTTTAAGGGTTTGAAATGATCGCACCCATAGCTCCTTACCAGACTAGAAGCTCTGGACTGGAAGCTGTGGGAAGTAAGCTGTAACACCCAGGGGCTGCTTTCCACTCATAGACTCACACACATAGACCCGCAGGCACGTAATGGAATTTCTGTGTCCTGCCACTTGTTAGATTCCAGAATATGTAGAATAACTTCATCTCCAGAAGACCTTTCCACTTACACATTTAAAAAAAATGAATGAGCACACATAATCCCTGTCCTCTACCCCCTGGGTTCCAATTGCACTCTACTGTTATGATAGCCAAGCTTTATTTACACTAGAGACTAGGTTCCTAGGCCTCTCTCAGGAACATCAGCAACCAAAGCAGAGTTGGCCCAAAATATATAAAGAGCTCCTGCAATTCAACAACAAAACTTGACTGAAGAAAAGTGAGTATAGGACTTGAATAGATATTTCTCCTAAATGGTCACAAAAGGTAATAAAGACATAAAAAGATTTTCATCATCATTAGTCAAAAGAAAGGCAAGACCTACACTATGTGTGTCTCTTTGCATACATACACATCGATAGATATGCTGCAACCCATGTGGCCTGGGTCCTGGAACCCTGATGAAATGTAGTAAAGCAGTGAAGAAGACAGACATACAGACTCACATACAGGAGAGCTGGGATCAGGTAGGGGTGTGCTTACTCTAACGGAGGGTACCTACTACCGCCCCCTAATGGATTATCAAATACCAAGTAGTCAGCCCTGAAATCATATAAAAATAGGATACACCAAATGGACCAAGCAGGTCTTATTTATATATTTAGACATTATAACAACACAATTTCTTAAAAAGAGGCCAAGATTTCACGAGGCAGGGGTGGGGGGTGTCACACATGAGAGGGATGGGAGGAAGGAATAGAGGAAATGATATAATTATATTTTAATTTGTATAGTTAGTTTTTTAAAAAGAGGGGGTGGAGGTAGCATGTGACTCAGATTGCAGCCCTGCCTGGTGACCAATTGCAGAATCCTGAGAAATGGCTTATCATTTAAAAGCCTCCATTCACTCCCCTGCAAACTGGCTATCGCACACCCACATGAGGGCTGAGTCTGCCTCTTGAAAAGTGTAGAGAAAGGCTTCCTACCCACCTTTGACAATGAGCTTTCTCAAATATCTAGAAGACATTTCCATCTCTCTTGAGGTGGTTAATATGTTACTTACTGTGGCTGTTATTTCACATGTGTATTTACACTAT